AAGCGGATCCCATAGGCTTTCATCAGGGTGCGGAACTCCACTCCAGCTGTGTCTCGGTAATATTTGGCAAATCTGGGGGAGACAAGGCCCAGGGGAAACGTCAGCCTGGCTGGGCCTTCCTATCGGGGCTTCAGGGAGGGGACTGATAAGCAGCCCCAGGAGAGGTGCCAGATCGTCTCATGGAGCCAAGTCCAAAGATGCATACAGATATTTGGCATCTCTGCCAGACAGTCCCCAAGGGGCAAGGGCTTTCCCACTGCGCTCTGGGCCAGTCTCCAGGCCACCAAAGCACTGATCGAACTGGCCCCCCAGACACTTCTCTCTCCTCCCAGAGACCTCTCAGCACCATCCACAGCCACTCAGCCGGGTCCAGGCCTCCCCTTGCCTGTCTCTCCCAACACCTCCAGCTCTGGCTCCCACTCCGCCCCCAGGAAGGGAGTCATAGCACTGACACCCAGAAAGGACATGACACGCAGCCAGGGTCACAAGACACAGGCCTGGCCCCCAGTTACCTGAAGTTGTACCCAGAGGAGACAGATTTTTCTGCAAATTTGTTGTCCAGACGGCTAAAAGAATAGTGAGGGTTGCATTCAGAAGGTGCTTTATCAAGATCACAGTCCCATTCAATCTGAATTCCTATCACACCGCCCTTGATGAAAGAGAGACGAGGGTCAGTGCACAGAGCTTTCTGGAGACGGACAGATGTCTCAGACTGGCCCTGTGGAGGGGGAGGTCTTGGGTACTGGGTCTACCCTCCTGGACAATCCTTCAGGGCGGGAGGTCGGGGGCACAGAGTTCTAACCCCACTTTGGAGTGGCTGAGAAAACTGCACCATGAACAGCTCCAGCCCTCCTATCTTCCCTGCCCACGCACCAGGCGAGAGAGCTCCCCCGGACCTGCACTTACTGTGGGACGGTTATCCCAGGCCAGAACCAACTGTGGACAGGCACTGGACACAGGAGCCAGGAGGTGCCAGTGGGCTCTTTCTAGTTTGGCTTCAGCTGATGTCCCCAAAGACTATGAGCTAGACAGCAAGGGCTAAGTGTGCCCATGTCCCAGAGTGTGGCCTTGGGTCACTGCTGAATGGTGCCCCAAGGAGGTGGTGGCAAACCAGCTTTGTGACCCTTAGCTCAGCTCCTACTTCAAGGGCATCGGGCCGAGGTTGGAGAGGCTTCAAGGGGGATTTCTTTGGAGTCCAATGTTGAGGTGCTCTTACTCCACCCATGGAGGAGGGGTAGGTGCTCTTCTCCCTCATCTAGGCTTCATGAGAAGGGGGGACCTCTCAGAGAGCTTGGAGGCCATCGCTGGACTTGGGGTCCAGATTAGTGTTTGACTCCTGATTGAAAATCTAAAGGGGAGAAGCCTGCAGCTAAATCCAAAGAGTTGGAGCAGAGAGGAGCATGGGGACCATCTATGGAACAAAGAACTAGATCTTAAAACAGTCTGAGCAATTAAGATGCTCTGTGTGTTTCTGAAATAGCCAGCACATAGGGGCTCCACAGGCCCCACATCTGAGGGACTAACCTCAGGAAGGGACGGGAAGTGATGCAGTCAGTCACGCACCTTCATTCACTGGGTTGATCTTAACTATGTACTAACAACTCACTGCCATCAAGTGATTCTGATTCATATCAACCCTACAGACAGAGTAAAATTGCCCCATCAGATTCCAAAGGCTGTGGATCCTTATAGAAGCTGACTGCCTCATCTCTCTCCCACAGAGTGACTTATGGGTTCGAACCATCAGCCTTTTGGTTTGCAGCTGAATGTTTAACCACTACTCTACCAGAGATCCACCATCGTACTTAAAAAAAAAAAAAAACTCACTGCCATCAAGTCGATTCTGACTCATGACAACCCCCAGTGGGTTTCTGAGGTGGTAAATCTTTACGGAAGTAGATTGCCCCATCTTCCTTCCATGGAGCAGCTGGAGGTTTGAACCACCAACTTTCTGGTTAACAGTCACATTCACTGGGTCTGTGACTCAAGCCCAGGCCTGCCTACTTTTCCTCTCTACCTCAATGCCTTTGCTGGTACCTGATGAACACGTTGGCCCGAGGAAACTAAGGTAGGCTCAGGGGCTCCAGGAGGACAGGGGCTAGGTCATTACAGCCATGTCCCTTTTGCCTCCCTTCCGCCCCCTTACCAAATGTCCACGGTCTGAGCACTGGCACGTCCAGCTTTGTGTCACAGCTCATTCTACAAACAGCCGCTGGGGGCAGGTGAGTGTACAGCCACGCACCCACCCCACCCCACAGGGCCTTCCACACCCCACCTCATTCTGGAGCCCAGGCCCCCTGGGGGAGGGGGAGCTCACTGTGTGCACCACCCACCTCCAGGGCCATCTCTTGGAAGTTGCTCCCAGCCCAGCGGACGATGGAGCCCAGTCGGAAGATGGGGCAGTATAGGTTGTTGAGGTCAAAGCGACAGGTTTTCAGGAAAGAGCTGTTCTGGGTGTTTAGCACATTGGTCCTGGGTGGAGGCCATGAACAATCGGTGAAGTGAGGGTGAGACTTGGTGTCCTGGCCCCTCACCGTGGCCTAGGCTGACCCCTGACTGGAGACCTGACCCATCCCCCCAGCTAATATCCTACTCCACCCAAGAGCAGGGCTATGCCCCACAGTAGAGGCAGGGGAGCCCTAGGGCCAGCAGTTCCACCCCCCCCCAAAAAACTTGGTACACACAGACCACCAACAACAGCCATGAGGCCAGCCAAGGCCCTCAGACATCCCAAGTCACCAGCCAAGGCTCCCCTCCCAGAACCCCGAGATCCAAGCCCCACATACTTGGAGAAGTTGAATTTGGGAAAACGGATGGAGTTCTTGATGTAAACGGTGAATTCTTCAGCCTCACCCAGGAGCAGCTTCCTACAAACCAAACCAGGAACCTGTCCAGGATGCCCGGCCCACCTCCCCTCATCTCCCCCAGACCTGCTCCCTGTGTTCCCTGGAGTCTTTGGCAAGGACAGCTAATTTGCTCAGGGTGGAGTGGTCCTCCGCCCTCTCTGAGGTGTTTTGGCTTCTCCCTCAAAGCGAGGCACTGGGCTGGGCGTGTCCCCACCCAAGGGACTGAGAAACCCCTCAGGACCCCAGACTGGGTCACTCACGCTGGCTTGGACTTTGCCTCCACGGGGCACCAGGCGAAGATCTCGCAGGTGCCCTTTGCCGTGCTCCCTGCCTGCAGGCAGCGGCCAGTCTTCACTCCTGCGGGCACGGCATAGAGACGATGCCCGGGGACTCCCAGCCTCAGGCCACTCCTCTCCCCCCAGCCCTTGCCCCCAGGCCCTCACCATTGCCAGCGATAACAGCCTCCCCAGGGCGACAGTCGCTGTCCTCAGAGCACTCAGCATTGGGGATGTGCTCACTCTGCCAGGAGAGAAAGGAAGCCTCAGGCGGGGCCAGGTCCCACCCCTGGGGTTCAGGCAGTTCTTACCCTACCTGGGCTCACACACCCTTCTGACAACCTGACGTAAGTCCTGGCCCCATCCCCAAACCATGCACGTACATCCTCACCCTGCACACATCCCACCCCGCGCCCGGGCCCTGGAGTGGGTAGAAACTCCACCCCCAGAAGAGGGGTTCCCCAGCTGCTGCTGGCAGCTCCTCTGCCCCTCCCCCAGCTCTGGGTGCCATGTCACCTCAGCACAGGTGTCCTGCCGCTGGTTGGGGGTCACGATCAGGTTGGTCACCACGAAGAAGACATTCTCTCCCTAAGGAACCAGAAAGGAGGTGAGGGCACATCTAAGATATGGCAGGTAGGGCACATGCCTGGGCACCACCTGTAGGGGGCGCCACTGAGCAGTTTCCACCAGCCATAGCCATTTCCATTGCCCGCTGTGAGAGCTCATTCAACAATTTCAAATGAATAGTTTCATATTTGAGAGCCTCCATGGGTCAAGGCAGACTGTGTGATCTTGCTCTGCTGAGAGTAAAAAGAGAAGAAACGGGGGGAGGGGGCGGGAATAAATGACTTTGGGCAGTTCATAGACACTTATCATCAGTGAAAGCAAGGAAGATGCAGTTGTAATTTTCATGAAGGGCCATAATGTGTTAAGTAAAAGATTAATGAGCTTGCCTTGTATTTTTGAGCTGATATTATGGTAAAGTTATCTAAAAGACGGGGGTCAGGTGTTTGCACAGGGGCACATTTTCAGTGCTTGCACAGGCACTATCTTCTGTAGACCTACCTCTGCCTCCTGCCCTCCTGAGGCCCCCTTCCCAGGGCTATGTGGGAGGGCTGGGGCCTCTGAATGGGTACTGGGGTGGGTGGTGCCACAAAACTGGTAGCCTCTGCCCTCTGCCTGCTGACCCTGGAGTCCCTCAGCAGGTGTCCTTTGATAGGTCCCTTCCTGGTCCACCCTCATGGCACCCACCCATGAATCCCCATACAACCTCAGCCCCTGGGGGCCAAGCCCAGAGCTGGGAGAAGGAGCGTAATGATGGGGTTGCCCGGCCTGGCGCGCACAGATTCTGAGCAGGCCAGGGAGCCATTCCCAGGAACAGTGGCTAATAGAGGGTGGGGTTCCCTCTGAGAGAGCCCCGATTTGCCCATTGTGACAAGTGGCCTGGAAGCATTCTGGATCCCATTTGGTGTCAGTAGGCTCACGGGTTGCTTGCAGAATGGACAGTCTCATAAGGTTTAGGCAGTTGTAGAAATGGCAAATGTTTTGTTACTGATAAATTTACTACAACTAAAAATAATAATAGGGTCCAGTCAGTGAGGGCAGGGGTGTGACCTGGGGGGAAGGGTCTGGACAGAGTCTCTATCTGTAAACCCCCACAGCCAACCTGGGCCAAGGGAGACAGTGGATGGAGGTCCCTGGGGGCCAGGGCAGCAGTGGTGGGTGGGGGCTCAGACCTGAGGTGGGATGACATAGTCAGCCACATCCCAGAGCCGCTCCCCAAGCTCCGAGGTGTTGGTGAAGGCCACGCCCTTGACTTTGGTGATGACAGCACTCTGCAGGGACGTGTCTGTGTCTTGGTAGCCCTTCTTCACCATGAACACCCACCTGCGGGGAGAGGCCGGTGAGTGGGCATCAGGTGCATTGCTGCCCTCAGGGAAGTCCCCCAGGTCTATGGGTGGGGGGTGAGGGAAGTGGGAGTCATAGTGACTCCTGGCTAGGGGCAGGGGCGGACAGGCTCCAGGCTGCCTTTCCTACCAGCTCCCACCACTGCCTGAAACCTGGTCCCGCAAGCAGCCTGGGTGACAATGAACCCCAGAGGTGTGGGAGGAGGGGCGATCACAGCCCTCAGGCACTGAGGCCCTGATACCAGGCAGGCCCAGCTGAAACAGGCTCCACCATGCATTGGCCGTGTAACCACAGGCAAGCCAGTTAACTCTGAGCCTGGGTCTCCCGGTTTGTTGCCTGGGAAAAACAATGCCTCCCTCCAGGGGGCGTGGTCAGAGTTAATGAGATGGTGCAGAATGTGAAACCCAGAGCAAAAAGACATCGGTCAGACCTAAACAGAGGGGCATCCTACAAAATTGTTGGTTTTGGGTGCCCTTGGGTCGATTTTCAATTCATAGCAACCCCATGTGACAAGAGGAGAGGCTCATAGGGTTTTTTCTTTCTTTCTTTTTTTTTTTCCCCATAAAGTTTTCTAGGCTGTAATCTTTATGGGAGCAGGTCACCAGATCTTTCTCTCACAGAACCGCTGGATGGATTCAAACCACTGACCTTTCAGTTAGCAGCTAAGTGCTTAACTTTTACTCCATCAGGGCACCTCAAAAGAATATAAAATCCTGTACTCTTCAAAACAGGTCAGTATCACAACGTACAAAGAAAAACTCGGGAACAGATCAGAGGAGACCAAGTACATGGCATGACTGAATGCGACATGAGCCTGGACTGTCTTTTGCTATGAAAGTAATTATTGGCCTAATTTACAAAAGGTCTATCAATTAGATAATAGTATTAATATGTTGTCATTAGGTGCTGTAGAACCGGATCTGACTCACAGCGACCCTATGTACGACAGAACCAAACCCTGCCCAGTCGCGCACCATCCTCACAATCCTCACTATACTTGAGCCCATCGTTGCAGCCACTGTGTCAATCCATCTAGTTGAGGGTCTTCCCCTTTTTTGCTGACCACAGTAATAATATATTAATGTTAGTTTCCTAATTTTGATCCTTGAGCTTGGTTAAATAAGAAAATTTCTTGTTTTTCA